CTCTCTTGTGTATCGTTGCATATTCAGCCCTGCATTGCTAATAGGGAAGCGCTACAGCAATCTTAACATAATTAAAATTTCACTTTCGGTCGTTAAGGATTCGCAGAGCTGGAGAGACCGGGAAAAGCTGTGCAGGGAGGTAGGTTTATCAGGCAAAATAAAGGATTGCGTGTACTTTTGCATTAAATCAGGGTTGCGCTGTATATTACAATCTGAGTTGCTGTAATTATCAAATCGCAAAGGCTGCACTTGTTTAGATGTTAGGATCTCATCTGCAAAGAAGAAAATGTATAGTGTTTTTATAGGAAAATCGTCACAGTAACGCTAATAATAACAATAACAACACATTTCCTGATTCTCTGAGGATAAAACACTTCAGAATTAGATGCAGACAGTACTAATTAAACTACAGTACCTTATTAAACTAATATCTGATCTGTCATTATACTGTTTTCTCATCAGCTCTGCATATTTAGACTGAGTTTTTCTCTCAAACAGAAAATACGCTATTCCAACTTGTGATGTCATCAGGTGGCAATCCACAACTAGTTCATTTATTTATTTATTTTTGTTTTTGTTTGCAGTGGTCCAAATTGTTCCTCACTTACCTTATCCATTCAGAGCATCCTAATCATTCACCACAATGAGTTTCTAAGCACTTTTTACATTTTTCAGAGACAAGAGTGGAGTTTTGCCCTCACAGTGATGTTAACAACAACAACTAGCATGCTAACAATGCACTTCATGATTATCTGAGGATAAAATGCTTTATAATTACATGCAGACAGCACAAAACAGTTTAATTTCTCCCTTAAAAGCTACTTATACAGTATATCTTTATCTTCTTTAAAGTTGTATTGTGCAACTTTTCTGGTAGAGGGACCCTCACCTAGCCAGGCTGGTGCCACCAGGTGCCTCCACTCAGTTTTATTTCTCTCCAGTGACGAGGTCAGGAATCAGAATACACCAGAATAGACGTTTTGCAAAAATCCCGAAAGTGCAAGTTCGGGCACCAGCCAATCAGGGAAGAGTCAGACATTCTGTTTTGGCAACGATTCCCGAGATCGAGGATTTAAAGCCGGAACAAAGAGATTGTTTGGTGAATTTTATCAAGGAGAAAGACGTTATTGCCCTTCTTCCTACGGGATTTGGGAAAAGCTTAATATACCATTTAGCCCCGTTAGTGACGCATTACATATGTCACGACCAAATAGCAGCGATTAAATGAAAAAAAGTACTCGCCTACCGTTGAGCAAACAAATTCTAACACTGTGAGGTCAGACAGTTTCTACAAAGTGAAACTGGTTGATGAATCAGGCTATCTGTCATCGGCTTGTTTCTATGGACATCTCAGTGCTCTGCCTGAAATGTTCCACAGTATGACATTAAACAGATCTACCTCACATTTATTCAATTACAGGTGGTTTTATATCTCAAAAATACCTAGAAAAACAAGCATTCTGACTATGAGCGGGGTCGCCTCTCCACAGATCTGACCTGTAACTTGATCTGGTTTGGTCTCCATAACGATAAAAAAGTTTAATACCAACCTGTGAAACATTCCAGACAAAGTAGTAACATTTACAAGGAGACAAGCATTTGATGGACGCTCCACTAGAAAAGTTACACAATGCACCTTAAGCAATTTATCTCAAATACACAGACAAAAAAATTTGATATTTCCACTTTAAGCTTAGATACATCATACGGAACCAACACACACTATTAATCACTTCTTCTTCAAAACATTCCACATGGCTGCTGCACATGACTTCATCTCCTAATATTGTGCGAGTGTTGCATAAATTGTGCGTTAGATTTCACAGGTTACTGGGTTAAGGACAGGGGATAAATCACGACTAATGCTCGGGGATGGGGCAGCTGGGGCCACGCGCTCTCACAGTCTCCGGGCGGATTCAGATGTGTAAGGAGCAGGAGCGTGGCTGTAGATCTGTAGTAAGATGGATGACTAAAGCTGCCTTCCATTCCAGGCCAGAGTTAATAATTTGTGCTCAGAGCTGGGCTAAAACTGGCTCCAATCTTCTTTTTCCAATGGGCCATGCCAGCGCAGTACACAACGCCGAAACTACTGCACTGTTTTACTTTATATAAAAGATAGGTAGTGTTCATGTGACGGCTCAACTGTCTAGAAGCACTGTGTTGATACTTTGCAGCTGATATCGTCAACATTCATCAACATACCCTGGCGGTGTGATTCTAAGGCTACGTTCAGACTGCAGGGCTTAATGCTCAATTCCGATTTTTTTGTGAAATCCGATGTTTTTGCGAGGTCGTTCACATTTCCAATTAAATGCGACTTGTCTGTGACTTCAGTGTGAACGGTAAACGGCCCGAAAGTGTCCCGCATGCGCACTGGAGACACGATGACGTCAACCCCATGCGTCAACCGCAGCGAGCGTGCTCTGTGTTTACGGAAGTTGTCCAAATATGGTCGCGAGCATTGAGCACCTGGCGATTTTACAGTTCCGGTTTCCGCCTGCTTCAGCGCAGAATAGTGACGTTTGTCGCTTGTCAATGACGTGTAGGTCGGATGGATGCGCTTTGGCCTTTCATACTGAAGTCGCATGTGAAAAGATCGGATATGTATCGGATTCAGGACCACATATCCAAGTGGCCTGGGTCGCATTTGAAAAATTCGGATCTGTGCCGTTCAGACTGTCATTAAAAGATCAGATACAGGTCACATAGAAGCCAAAAAATCGGATTTGGGTCACTTCAGGCTGCAGTCTGAACGCAGCCTAAATGTAGTCACTGCTCTGTTTGAAGCTCTGTTACTCAATGTAGACTTTATGGTCCATGGGGTCTTAAAAGTCTTAAAAGGGTCTTAAATTTCACATTCCTAAATTAAGGCCTTAAAAAGTCTTAAATTATGTTGTCCAAGTCTTATTTTTTCCACAAAGGTCTTACATTTCATTAGCCTATTTTTCTGTATACTCAACCGGGCTGCAGTGTGAAAAACAAAAAAAACAACAACATGAAATCACATAACATGAATGAACGTCTAATTTGGAGCATGCACAAACAATACTTAGGTTTCTGGCGCTGGCGGCAATGAGTAAACAATCAGTAGAGTGGAGGAAGATGTTGGATACAGCATTGGAAAGTGTAAATTTAATCCACAGTGGCTCTCAGTTTCTAGATATAGTACTGTTGTTGGTTCATCATTATTAGAATTAGATTTGGTTTTTCGCCCGCATAATGGGAGCGATGTTGGTCTTAATTTTCATTTAAGTGGTCTTAATAAGGTCTTAAAAAGTCTTAAATTTGGGGTAGTCAAACCTGGGGATACCCTGGATTAAAGAATAGACTTAGTTAGATTTGCAACTATGGTATATCAGTATCGGAAAAAGCTCAGATACCTCACATTTTTCAGGTATCTGTATCAGCGAGTACTCAGACCAAATCACCTATCTGTGCCCCTCTGTATTTTCCAGAATGAGAACCTGTACGCTGCAAAAAAACTTGGCCACAATTTAAGATCCATCCATCTATTTTTTTCCACTTATCCTGGGTCAGGTCGTGGGGGCAGCAGTCTAAGCAGGGACTCCCAGACTTCCTGCGGTGGGGGAGACAATTTAAGATATAACAATTAAATCTATCAGAAAATCACTTAAAAGTTGTGAAATAATTTGTCCATACGGCAAGAGAATTTAAATTTTATGAGTTATCTTACAATAAACTACTTCTAGACTAGAATGAAGCAGTCTCTGGTCTAGTAAGTAAGACAAAATTGTTTCAAGAAAAGAGAAAAATTATTGATTTAGTTTACATTTGGATTGTACAAAAGAGGGTCACGTGTTGGTGAATTACATCTCTTACAACACTTTCCAAAAAGCAGTACTAGAATGGAAACAAAAATATGAAATTAAATAAATAAAAAATTGTGAGGCCAAAACTGGAAAATGAATTGTGAAATTTATATACTGTATTTTCCGGGCTATAGGTTGCGCTCTTAAGCCTCCAACCCCATCAAAAAACGACTGCGCGCCCCACAATCCAGAGCGCCCTATACACGAATCCACTCGGGTGTCCCAGCACGACTTTAGTAAACTACAAAGCCACAACACCTGCAGCGCACGCAAACACACACGGAGCAGACACACTCATCACTCCACACCAACGAGGAACGGAACGAAGGAAAGAACCGAAAAAGCAAGTGCAATGTGCCACTTCTAGACACAACTGAACAACTGAGTCACCTGCGAACACGCCGACAATCCAGTTGGTCCCAGACAGCACCCTCCCTACACGCCACAACTGAACAAAGCCCAGAGTCACCGTGAACGACACAAACAAACAAAACCACTGACCCGTCCAACTGTTGTGTTTCCTTTAAAGTCCGGTGCGGTTTATTTGTGAAAAAAGTTCGAAAATAGACCATTCTATGACAGTGCGCCTTATAATCCAGAGCGCCTAATAGTGCGGAAAATACAGTATTAGGAATTATTTTATCTTTCGTATCTCGTCTCATCTTCTGGAAATTGTGTCTCGGGGATGGGCAATTATTTTTTCCATGGGGCCACATGAGAAACAAACTAGACTCTCGACTAGAATGAAGCAGTCTCTGGTTTAGTAAGTAGATAATAAATCTGAAAACAAGATGAATAACCTGATATAAATTTTAAAATCTTAGCCAGATCAGAGAAATTTGCAGTGTAGGCGCTAATGCTACCACATACTTAAAATACACGAATAATGATAGAAAACAGATTTGTGTTCCCTCTTTGATACCCTTATTTAGCCTTTGGTGTGGACGCTGAACTCGGTAAAATAACTACGGAGAGTGCAGCCTGACACAGCGCTATAACTCTTCTGTTTACTTCCTGGTTTACTGATGATAAAAATGCTTTATATTAATAGTAGACAGGACACGGCGGCCTCACTTTGATTTATTATTATTTTGCTTTTGCTTGTCATCATATTTACCTCACACTGTTTCTCATACTCGTACACGTGTTTTGTCTCTGGTTGTTTTGCAGCAGCAGATGGGAGCCGGTGGGGGTCCCATGCAGCCGGGACAGGTGCCTCAGACACAGAACTTCATGAACCGAGCTCCAGGACCCGGGATCCCTGTCTCCCACGGCAACGTCCAGCAACAGGTAACCCTTGACCTCTTCCCCCCTGACCTCTTGAGACTGACGGCTGCTGTTCATTTTAACCAGAGTGAGATGGTGATAAAAACACTAGAGTGGACGTCCGATACCAAAGTTCAGCATTTTCAGCGTTCTGGCGTCGACGCTCTAGTCTAGACGCATATCCACATAGACTTTACGTATAAACTGGACTTTTGGAGTTTGGAGTCACTGTAGGCAAAGTGAAAAAGTCCACTCTAGAGTTTCATCCCATCTCTTTGATTTTAACATTTCTCTCACCTCTTCTGCCCCTTTGCCTGGTGTTTTGTGCATGTGGACTGACTCTCTCCTCCACTCCCCTCCTCCTCCTCCTTCTCCTCTCCTCCCTCCTTTCTCTCTGTCTCTGGATTACTGGGGCGGTCCTGTCCAGTCTGTGGTGGTGGGGATGCCCAGTGTGAGTCAGGTGGCTCTGATGGAGGAGCAGCAGAGGCAAAACAACATGGTGAGCTCCAACACTGGGTACATTTACATAGACAGAGAGGAAAAAACAGATACCAGGATAATCAGTAGGGCTGGGGATCATTAAGAAGTTGCCAATACACAGGCTATGATACGATACATATCTCAATACAGTGAGTTTACGATTCGATACGATTCAATACAATATATTTCAAATCGATTCACTATGGTTCAATAAAAAAATAAAGCCTAACTCATGCCTGTCTTTGTTAAACCACTTCTTGTGCAAAGTTAATCAACAAAACAGTGAAAATGTCAAATGTGTTGCATAAAAAAGTTTACAGCACAGCAAAAACTGTAGCGCTGTAAGAAAATAATTTAGTAAAATATAGACTTGGACAAACTTTATTGACCCACAAGGGAAATGATTTGGACACAGTAGCTCAAATATCGATACAGCAGCCCATGATATCAATACTGTATCATCACATTAAACAGTACGATACATCAATATTTTGATATTTTTGCACACCCCTAATAATCAGATAACCCAATTAATAGTGTGTGTTTACATGACCAAGAGAAATCTGATAATAAGTTTTATCTTAGTAGTTTTTTTTTTGGTCAAAACCAGCATATATGTGAACAGTCATAAAGAAATCCAACTTCAGAATAACTCCAGAAATCGGATAACAGATCAGATTTTTTTGTGTATGTAAACGCAGCCAAACATAGACACACAGTTAGTTACACACAGAGTTAGTTAGCCACAATCATCCATTTCAAATTATTTGATTAATTTTGGAGTTCATCCTTGTAGTTCCAGTTTGAAGTGTTTTTGCATAAACACTAGAAATGGTACAAAATCTCGTTCCACCAGATCTCGCGAGACAAAATTCCATCTCTTACAGTTCGAAAAAGCAACACTAGAATGGCAACAAAACTACGAAATCAAATAAATGAAAACTGTGAGGCCAAAACTGGTAACTGAATCATGAAATGCATATTTTTGGAATTATTTTAAAATCTCATCTTGTTTCATTCTCATGGACCCTATTTCTGATCTTGTCTCGTCTTGTGGAAATTGTCTCATCCCATCCTTAAAAAACATATACAGTGAAAATTGTTATAACTTATTTTTTTGTCCAGCTATAATATTTAATAAGTAAGTAGTGTTTTTGTTTTTTTTGGATTCCTATATTGATACTTGGCATTACTGTACTCGATACCGATACCAGTCCGATACCACAGTGTGAAGCAGCAGAGTAAGGCTATTCAATGTTGTTACAGTACAAGAGCAAAAAATAAACCTACAAAAATTCTTTCTCTACTGAAAATCTGTAGAATAAATTAGATTTTGAGAACTAAGTGTTAAGAGTCAAATATAGAAGTTTTGCTGATTTAAGCACTTTTACTTTTCCACTTTCTACCACAGCGCATAGATTAAAACAACAATGAGGCCTGTAAAAAGAGTTCTCCTCGGAGCGCACGGCTAATTATGTAGAGTAAACAAAGTCCCAGTTAGTGCTGTTGTCCCTGCACTCTCTTTGGCTTTAGTTACTTTACTGAGTTCAGCATCCACACCAAAAGCTAAATAGAGGTGTCAAAAAGTAACACAAATGTCTTTTCTGTCATTATTAGCGTGTTTTAAGTGTTTACAGAGCCTCTACAGTCTGTATTTAACCTGCTCTGAGCGTTAGTGGTAGCGTTACCGGTAGCATTAGCCACAGATGTCAACAGCAGCTGCACACATCTACAGATCCTCATTTAAAAAGTGGTATCGGATCGGTGATTTGGTCTGAGTACTTGCAGATACCCATACCTGAAAAAACAACAAAGTAAGTAACTGAAATGTAATATAGCCAGTGTTGGGAAGGTGACTTTTAAAATGTATTTCCCTACAGATTACAGATTACATACCCAAAAATGTAGTTTGTAACGTAATCTATTAAATTACTTAAAGTGAGTAATGTAATCTGAATACTTTGGATTACTTGATATTGTCTTAACTTGTTTTTTAAAGCTACATGAATGTACCAACCACAGCCTGAAAATTCATGTTTGTTCTCTTCAAATTGGTTCTGGTTTAGACCTGGTTTAGACCTGGTTTAGACCTGGTTTAGACCTGGTTTAGACCTGGTTTAGACCTGGTTTACCTGGTTTAGTCCTGGTTTTAGTCCTGGTTTAGTCCTGGTTTTCCTGGTTTTAGACCTGGTTTAGACCTGGTTTTAGTCCTGGTTTAGACCTGTTTTAGACCTGGTTTTAGACCTGGTTTTAGACCTGGTTTTAGACCTGGTTTTAGTCCTGGTTTTAGTCCTGGTTTAGACCTGGTTTAGACCTGGTTTTAGACCTGGTTTTAGACCTGGTTTAGTCCTGGTTTAGTCCTGGTTTAGACCTGGTTTAGACCTGGTTTGGACTTGGTTTAGTCCTGGTTTACACCTGGTTTAATCCTGGTTTAGTCCTGGTTTTAGTCCTGGTTTTAGACCTGGTTTAGACCTGGTTTAGTCCTGGTTTTAGTCCTGGTTTAGTCCTGGTTTAGACCTGGTTTAGACCTGTTTTAGACCTGGTTTAGTCCTGATTTTAGTCCTGATTTTAGTCCTGATTTTAGTCCTGATTTTAGTCCTGGTTTTAGAGTCCTGGTTTTAGACCTGGTTTTAGACCTGGTTTTAGACCTGGTTTTAGACCTGGTTTAGTCCTGGTTTAGTCCTGGTTTAGTCCTGGTTTAGTCCTGGTTTTAGTCCTGGTTTTGCCCAAAATGTGAAAAAGGGGAAAATACCACCATGTAATCCATTTATTTCAACAAAGTAACTGTAATTCAGTTAAATACTCTGATTACGTAACTCTGGTACATGTAATCTGTTACTCCCCAACACTGGATATAGCTCTCAATGAAATGGAGTTTTAGGTGGTACTAGTGGTGCAGAGGACGGCTTTCCCTACGGGGACGAATCGGTCTATAAATACAAAAAATAAGAAATTAGTTGGAAATTTTGATTCAGTAGAAGTAAAGCCAGATAATTCTAAATAAATAAAAAAAACAGTTTTAATAACAGACTAGTGCTACAATTACTCAAATTCATATTCTATTAGGTAGTTGTTGTCTTTCTTTCTAACTTGTGCACAGCTCCATCTCACCATTTGCACGTGTGGCGCTCTGACAGTCTCTAAGCATGTTTTTCCTCATGCTCCAGAATGCTTCTTTAGCATGTCCTGAACTCCACATATTGTATTACTCACTTATAACATGCATGTACAATAAAAGCGTCTCAATGAAAGATCGTTTTATTTTGAAATGCTATGAATTGAAGAGGCTGATTCGGACATTTACCTTCTCAAAGTTTTTATGAAAATGTTATGTATTCAATTCTGCGTAGAGTATTGGCAGCAAAGTTTATTAAGCAACGTTATAGAGTAAAACAAGTAACCAGTGTTTTTAAATTTAAATTACATCAAATATTCTGATGTATTATGGCCAAAATAACTACATTAGCATTAGAATTAGTGTCCAGACCTTTTCTAGTTTTATCTTGACTGGTTTTGTGACGATTCTTCAGATGGCAATGCGAGCAGCGGGACCAGCCAATCAGCAGCCTCCGGTCAGTGGAGCCCCGCCCACTCAGGGAGGCCAGGCCCAATCACAGGGACAGATTCTGCGCCTGGCAAACCCGGGAGCCAATCCACAGCTGCGCAGCCTCCTGCTCAGCCAACAGCAGCCGGTAAGAACTCAAATGTGACCTGTGAGTGAGTGAGTATTACGACCAGACGTCCCTGTTTACCCGGGACAGTCCATATTTTGAGCCCCGTGTCCCCTGTCCCAGCAGATTTATACAAAAAAAAACAGTGATTTGTCCCAGTTTTATACAAGAAATGTCCCAGGTGTCCCTATTTTTGACCATTTTGATCCAAACCAGGACTAAACTAAGATTAAACCAGGACTACATCAGGTCTAAAACAGGACTATCAGAATTTTTTACTAATTTGACTCCCTGCCATCAGTAAAGAGGAACATAAATTATCAATTGTTTAGCAGAAAACCGTGTTTGTAAATGACCTTAAAGCAAAAAAATGCAGCAACAGAAGTCTATCAGATTATGACTGTCACGAAAATGCACAATGTTACGCGCTCTTTTCACTATTTTATGGATACCAGCCATCAAACCCCAGTGTGTCCCAGTTTAGAATTTTGAAAACCTCACCGCATCACCCTATATTCAGAGAAAAGCTTTTGTGACATGCGTTTTTTTGTAACTGTTGTATTTGGAAAACAAACTACAGTGGATTTTAGAACAAGTCTTCAATCATTAATTTTGAACTAAACACTAAATCCACTTTACTACTAAACTGTGTATGTGATGCTTTAATACTATTATCTACTGTTCCTAGTATGAAATGTCTATTATTATATGTGCATCTATTCTTTGTATTTTCTGTTTTGTATTTTATCTTCCACGTGTGTATTGTGTTTTGCAACTTCAGTGAAAACAGAGGTAAATTCTGAGCTTTCTGGTCAAAAACACCTACATCCAAGTTTGCCCCCCTTTTTTTTTCTTTTTTTTTTTTTTTTGTTAAAACCTGCACACGAACAATTAGAAAGAAATCAAATGCAACTGGCTTTCTTTACTTGCGAATCAAAATCTGATTAATATCTGATTTTTGGGCCTATAAGGTCATATGCAAACCACAAATTCTGATGTGAGTCACAAGAGGGACTATGATCAGAAAGACATTTGCTGATTTTGCTGTTTACATTTCATTTAAAATAATATTTTAGCTCAAAACAAGATCTCACGAATCAAAATTGCCACTGAAAATGAGCTTGGGACATATTTTTCCCCTTGTTTTTATGTTTGGATTGGATACAAAAATTGAGTTAAGTACTGGTGTGTTACATTTTTTCAGAAGCTGTAGTCCCAAAAAGCACTGCTACAAAATATTAAATAAAGTAAATCAAAAATAGTGAGGCCAAAATTGGGAACTGGATTGTACAGTTTATTTATTATAAAGAATGTCTCATTCTCGTAGTTCCAATCTCGTGTCTCATCCCGTGTTGTCGAAATTGTATCTTGTCCCACTCCTACAGTCTGATAACTCCAGAAATCAGATCATGATTTTGTTATACAAGCAAACATGGCCAGTATGAGATCCCTGTGTCAGGGGCCTAGTCTAATCCTCGCTGTTTCGTGTGTGTCTTCTACAGCAGCCCGGTATGTCCCACATGTCCGGTATGATGTCCCACCAGGGCATGGGGCAGCAGATGGTCCACCCCACGCCAGGAGGGGGCGCTCAGATGCAGGGCCAGTGGAGGCAGCCTTTAGGAGGTCAGTGAACACCCCACACACAGAGGAAGAAACCAGAACAGCACCAAAATACAAAAAAGCAAAAGACAAAAGTCTTAAAAACGTGAAAAACACTACTAGTTTTGTTTTTAACAGTTTGTAGTCGTCCAAAGTTATTCCTCACTTAGTTTATAAGCACTTCTCACAACTTTCAGAGACCCGACAGTTTTACCAACCTAACAACTAGCATGCTAATAGTGCACTTCCTGATTATTGGACAATACAACACAGTACAGGAGCTGCTTATGCAATATATCTGAACCAGAGTCCTACACGGGTCCATTTTTGGAGACCTGCACCCGTGCAGTAAAGCACCCCCCTAAACCCAGACTAAACCCCCCCCCAGGACTAAAAACCAGGACTGAACCTACGCTGTGTCATTTATGGATTTTAAATATATACACACACACTGCAACTGTTGAGCCGATCACCAGGACTACACCAGAACTGAACCAGGACTAAACCCGTGTCTTTAGCGGATTATAAATATATACACGCCACAACTGCCGAGCCAATCGCCAGGACTAAACCAGGATTAAACCAGGATTAAACCAGGACTAAACCAGGACTAAACCAGGACTAAGCCAGGACTAAACCAGGATTAAACCAGAATTAAACCAGGACTAAACCAGGACTAAGCCAGGACTAAACCAGGACTAAACCAGGACTAAACCAGGACTGGATCAGGACTGGAACAGGACTGGAACAGGACTGGAACAGGACTGGATCAGGACTGGACAGGACTGGACAGGAATGGATCAGGAATGGAACAGGAATGGATCAGGACTGGATCAGGACTGGATCAGGAATGGGAACCAGGTCTAAACCAGGACTGGACCAGGACTGGACCAGGACTGGACCAAGGACTGGACCAGGACTGGACCAGGACTAAACCAGGACTAAACCAGGTCTAAACCAGGTCTAAACCAGGACTAAACCAGGACTAAACCAGGACTAAACCAGGTCTAAACCAGGACTAAACCAGGACTAAACCAGGACTAAACCAGGACTAAACCAGGACTAAACTAGGAGTGCAGTCGCCCAGCTGATCACCTCTGCTGATGGTTTTATGTAATAAATACACTAAAGTCTCTCTCAGCCTGGTCCATCGTTCTGGGAAAAGACCGGGAAATGTCGCTTGTTACCAGGGCGACGGACGTCCTGTTTGCACGTCAAGTATTTTTCTCCCATTCGTTGTCCATTTGATTCACCTGACCCGCCTGTGTGTAATCACTACCCGCCAGAAAAATTCCAGAATGTTTAAATCTGCCCATTTCAGCAACTATTTGTGTGACCGTGTGCAGGACTCTGATCTGAACTGGACAAGACAGGTTTTGCTCAAATACATGGACAAAAATAGGGTGCAGGGCCTTTAAAGTTGCATTGTGTAACTTTTCTTCTGGAGGGTCCGCCAAATGCTTTTTGCCATTGAAATGTAATTGCTTTGTCCGGAGTGTTTCACAGTATGGCATTAAACCTTTCTATCTTCATTGAGACCAAGTTGCAGGTCAGATCTGTGGAGAGGCGATCCCACTCACAGTTACAAAGCCTGTTTTTCTAGGTATTTTTGAGCTATAAAACAACTTGAAATTAAATAAATGTAAGGTGGATCTATTTAATGTCATACTGTGGAACATTCCAGACAGAGCAATGACATATCCATAGAAACAAACAAGTGACAGCTCCCTAACCGAAAAGTTACACATTGCACCTTTAAAGCTGAATGACTTAGTGGGAACTCAGAGTGAACCCAGCTTTAAACCAAATTATTTTAGCAGCTCCTTTTTGTAGTCGCGTAATCGTTGCATCAAGCTCTGAAAGTTTGAGTCACTGTAGGGAAAATTCAGCAGTCTTGGGAAAGTTTTCAGCCCTTTTCATGTAATAAGAGTTGAAAGTTATATTTTTACAGCAGTCTGAGTGAAATGCTCCAACACAGAAATCCTGGTGTCAAAATTTTGAACAGTAAGAAAAAGTGGACTCTTGTGAGCTTTAAGGCGTCTTATAATGTTATTACCTGATGAAAAACATACCTGGAGTTTTGCTTTGTTTCATTCACACATGTTATGTAATGTAATGAGTCATGCTTCATTATTAGGCCTGTTCACACTAGTACATATTTGAATCGTTTTCGTTGCGGATGCAGTGTTCGTCCACACTAATCCCATTGAAAATGGCTGGCCACCAGCTCCCACAAATACATTTGAGTACAGATCTGATCCGGCACTGTGAACGCCTGAAAACACTGATACTCTGACACGCTGATGTAGACGGTCTATGCATATGATCATACTTATAGACCGTATAATCTCTGAAAAGTTTAACATGAACTATCTCCAACACGATAGAAGAACAGAGCAAACTTACCATTAGCAGAACATCCCTCTGTCACAGAAAGAACATATATATTCCACTGAGTCGTGTCCTCCTGAACTGCATCAGCGCACAATAGTGAGCTGTATTTTTAACTTAGTTTATGCAAATTAGCCATGTGGTTTTAAGTTTAGTTTCTGTAAAATGTAAACAAATATGCTCAAAGCTGTGTGGATAGGGGAGGCTTGTGGACAGAAACAAATCAGTCCTCACTCTGAGTTGCCATTCTTGTCTTAAAATCCAGTGTTACGCTCAGTAACAACTGAACCTTGTTGTCGGTCCACGAAAAGACTGTTTTTACACTTTCCGTCTCCCTCGGCTCAAAATCAGTTGCTGCAACTTGACGTGACTAGTGTTTCAGGTGATTTGCGTTACCGTATGGACAGGGAAGGCTTTGATTGAGGATACAGAAACGACGTGTCTGGACACAGATCGTTTCCGATACTCTGATGCGGTGATACTGTGATACGTGCATTTGTTTTAGTCTGTTTATGGGCCTGTTTACATGAGAACACTTGCGGGTAAAAACAACAAAATATTTTATCAGAAGTGCCTTTCGTTTAGATGGTGATGGTGTTTTTGGGGCTTAAAAATGCAAAAATCTGAAACCGCCCTCCAAAGTGGAAAAGTTGAATACGCTCCGCCGTAGCGTTTCCGCCTACACTGTCCAAGATGCAAAACTCTGATCAGAACTGCTCAGGTCACGTACGCGTTTACGTCATGCACATCACCGCCGAGCGTCACCACCATTGGCATGCATACCCATTCCAGTTCCACACACTTTTGCATCACTGTATCCACGCAGATTCCCTCCCAAAAACGCTCATCTAAACGCGGAATAAAAGTGAAGACGCGACGCCTCTTTTGCATCTTCTGTTCAGACTGTCATATAAACACCTTAATCTCCAAAGCCACCTTATGAAGTGATAGTTTTCAAGTTAACAGCTACATTTTACTTTTAGTTCAGTGGAGATTGACAATTCCAGGTCTGAACTCATCCAAATGATTCTAGTGAAGCTGTATGGAGTTTGAAAACGCAGTGGAGCACTTCCTGTATTACCACATGACATCACAAGGTGGAACTGAGTGTTTTCACGTTGAGAGAAGATTTGTGTGTTAAACAAAACACAACTCCTGGTTTGTTTGTGATGAGGAAACAACATTACAGCCATTTATATAAAGGCCTTTTTTTCTATCCTTTTCCTTATGTGGTTTTTACTTTTTTGGAGTGTCTTTTACTCTTTTTTCATTGTGTCCCAAAAAAATAAATAAAAGGGAACAACATTATAACATAGATCAGATAACAGTGTAATACAGACTTTTTAAACTTCTGACGCTTTCCCCTCTCTCTCCCCGTGTCTGTCCCCAGGTCAGATGATGATGTCTGGGCAGAGAGGAGCCGTGCCTCAGCCCGGGATGCCTCAGGTCTCCAGCGTGATGGAGGATGAGATTCTGATGGACCTCATTTAAACACAAACACTGTCTTCATCTGTGGATCAGAGCCGAGGCAGGAAACAGGAAACAGGAAACAGGAGCGGGACAGGGTGGAAACTCAAGATTATGGACGATAAAAGTTGCATTTTTTTCTTATTTTTCAACTGGCTTTCTTGCAAATGAAGTGTGAACTAAAGCAGTATTATGTAACTTTTCTGGTGGAGGAGGGTCCATTACCTCCTTTGCCTCATGGAGATGTTATTACTGTGTCTGGAATGTCCCACAGTATGGCATTAAACTCACCCAATTTGCATTTATTCAACTACAGTGTTGTTATAGCTCAATAAATTAGAAAACATCTATTCTTACTCGCCTTTCCACAGAACTCACCTGCTTGTTTCCATGGAGACGTTGCTTTTTTACTTGTGTATCTCCATGGAAACGAGTAAGCGAGGCCACCATGTTCATTTACATGTCAGATCTGTAGAGAGGCGAGCCAACTCACGGTAAAAATTGCGTTTTTAACTGGCATTTTTTAAGCAATAAAAACACCTCTAGTTGAATAAACGCAACATGGTTTTAATGCTGTAGTGTGGAACATTTCATGCAAAGCTATATCAAAAATGTGGTGAACGCTCAACCAGAAAAGCTGCACGGTGTAGCTTTAATACGGCTGACTTTGTATTCCCACAGCAGCAGAACGGAGAAGCGATTATTTTGTATAGAAGCTCGCAGAAATACATTCACATCATGTTTCACACTCCCTGTTTTGATTTAATTGTTGTAAATACTTTGAAATGTCTCTCGTTATTATTCCACTCCTGTTTCCCGTCTCAGTTTGGACACGTACCTGCTCCGATTCCGCCGTTTTGGGCTTTTTTTTCTTTTTCTTTTTTCTTTTTTTTTTTTTTTTTTGTGCTGTTTCTTTCCAATTTCTTGCTGCTGAAATGTTGGCCATAATTAAGAAACAAATCATGCGCGAGGCCGGTTCTGCTGGAGTTAATTGGGAGCAGACTGTCCCAGCGTCTCTACACACCGGATTATTATGGTACACTTTTGCTGAGACTGTAAACGCCGATGGACCAAAACAATACGACCACTGACGAGTCAATAATGCAGATTTTCTACTCGTAAAGATAACCCAGTTTGAGTCTTTATTTATTTTATCTTTTGAATTACTACACAAAAATTGGTTAAAGGTGCGTCCGTCAAAAGCTTTGTCTGGAATGTTTCACAGTATGGCATTATTATGTCGTCATGGAGACCAAACCAGACCAAGTTACAGCTCAGATCTGTGGAGAGGCCCCACCGCTCAAAGTCAGAATCCATGTTTTTCGTAAGAATATTTGAGCTATAAAAGCACCTGTAATTGAATAAATGTAATGTAGAGCTGTTTAATGTAACACTGTGGAACATTCCAGGCAAAGCAATGGCGTATCCATAGAAACAAGCAGGTGACGATACCCTGATGCATCAACGTGAAGTAAAGAAAAAGCGTCGTGAGTTTTTGTTATAATTTTAGGTCTAATTTAAGCTTTGTCTGTCAATTCTGTTTTTTTTTACTCTTTAAAGGTGCATTATGTAACTTTTTGGTCGGGGATATGTCACTGCTCTGCCTGGAATGTTCCACAGTATGACATTAAACAGCTCTACTTTACATTTGTTCAATTACAGCCGGTTTTGTCGCTCAAAAATACCCGGAAAAACAGGCATTCTGACTGTGAGCGGGGTCGCCTCTCCACAGATCTGGCTTGTAACTTGTAGGGGTGTAACAGTAACCAAAATATTGCGATATCGAATCGTCAAAAGGCTTTCAATAATCATCGTGGGCCATCACAATATATCGAATCACAAGTTTCTTTGCTTAAATGAAGAGTTATGGTGCAGCAATAGCTAAAAAGCAGAGGGGACTACATAGACCATGATCCTTTGCTGCGTTTTGGTGCAAACTACATAAAGAAATAACAGTTCTAAGCAATTTTAAGTCTTAGTTTTTTGGATTAAGTCTTGTCAAGGCAGTTTAAGAGGAAAAAGTAGCATATTCAGTTTTTTTAGCCTCCACAAAATATTACAATAAATACCGTACGGTGAGATTTATATCGTGAAAATATCGTACGGTGAGATTTGGATATCGTTACATCCTTAGTAACTTTGTGTGGTTTGGTCTCCGTGAAGATAGAAAGGTTTAATGCCATACTGTGAAACATTCCAGACCAAGCAATAACATCTCCTTGAAGAAAAGCATTTCACGAACTCTCCACCAGAAAAGTTACACCTTTAATGCACCTTTTAAAGCGGGTTGCCATGGTTACCAAGTCCCGCCCCCGAACAACATGCTTCCAAAGTTTTTAGAGCGTCCCACGAAATATGTTGTGTTCATGTTTGAATCTGATTATGTCATAATTTCATTTGTGTAACTCTGTGGGAGATGATACTTTTTTGGTTTAAATTATCTCAAGTTACTTCATCCATCTACATTACTGGCCCGGTTTTGAATGACACGGCGACTCATTTCAAGCCAAATTATTTACAATTTGGTGTGAAAATCGCACTCACTCCATGGCAGATTTATTTTATTTCAAGCTTAAATGAACACAAATGCCACAAAAAGTGAAAATAATCAGGTCATTTAAAAAAGTAAATCCACCCTGAGAATCTTAAGTTAAAATCATCTGAATCCAGGTCATTATACTACTTTTTTTTGCAATGAAGGAACAGTTTTAACATGTTTTAGTTCTTTTACAGTCTGTATTAAACAAGTGGTCTTGTTGTTTTGCTTGATTGTCATGCTATAAAAGTTTGAATTATTCCCATATTTTTTAGTTTTTGTTATTTTCTTACGATGATGTACAAATAAAATGATGTAGTAATGTTGACCTAATGTGTAGTATTGTTATTTCAAAAGCTCAACTAAAAGTACAAAATATGATCAGGAAAATACTCAAGTAATAATAAAAGAAGTAGTAGAAGAAGTAGAAGTAGTTTGGGGAAACTACTACTAAATTAATAGTAATTTAAAGATCCTTACACAAAATTCATTCTTGTGAGCTTGAAGTCATGTTGTAATGTTGTTTCCTTGTCAAAAACAGACCTGGAGTTGTGTTTTGTTTCATTTACACATGTTTGAGTATAATCCTGGTTTATTAGTCTGTCTACAAAAAGCTCAAAATACTCTGATCCACCTTGTGATGTCATGTAGTGGTAGTTTTATCCTCCTTTTATCTTTACTTCAATATAGTGTTTTCTATATATGCAGGGTTTGTGTGTTAAACTTTAGGGATGTAAAAAATAACCAAAATATCGTGAAATCGTATCGTCAGAAGTCTCATAATAATATCGTGGACAATCCGTGTTTCATTCGTTCATTCGTTTTTCAATATAAAACCAAACATAAGAAAATGAAAAAACTATTTTCTTCATTATTTGTCTCCAAAACTAAAATGAAAAAACAGATAACGATTTGTTTTTTTCAGTTTTTGATTTTGTGTTTAAATGAATAATGGAAAAAACAGATAAAAGCTGTTTCCCGTTTACGTGACTTAAACTCTGATGCCAGACTTTTGGGACTTTCAGGATTAAAACAGGACTAAAACAGGACTAAAACAGGTCTAAAACAGGTCTAAAACAGGTCTAAACAGGACTGAACCAGGTCTAAACCGGTCTCAGTCCTGGTTTCTGTCCCGTTCTCGGTACCGGTCTCAGTCCCGGTCTCAGTCCCGGTCCTGTTCCCGGTCTCAGTCCTGGTCTCAGTCCCGGTCCTGTTCCCGGTCTCAGTCCCGTCTCAGTCCCGGTCCTGTTCCCGGTCTCAGTCCCGGTCTCAGTCCCGGTCCTGTTCCCGGTCTCAGTCCCGGTCTCAGTCCCGGTCCTGTTCCCGGTCTCAGTCCCGGTCCTGTTCCGGTCTCAGTCCCGGTCCTGTTCCCGGTCTCAGTCCCGGTCCTGTTCCCGGTCTCAGTCCTGGTCTCAGTTCTGGTCTGGTCCCTGTCTCAGTCCCGGTCTCAGTCCTGGTCCTGGTCCCGGACCTGGTTTAGTCCTGGTTCAGTCCAAATGCGGCGCAAAAGTCCGGCATCGCAGTTTAAATCACAGAAACAGGAACAGTTTCATTCATTCATTTAAACACAATATCGAAAACTGAAAAAAAAACGAATCATGATCCATTTTTTCATTTTGGTTTTGGAAACAAATAATGAAGACAACTGTTGTTTTTTCGTTTTCTTATTTTTGGTTTTATATTGAAAAACGAATGATACATGGATTATGGACCAGCACAAAATACTGAATTACAACTTTCTCTGCTTAATTCATTGTTATGGTGCAGCAAAAGCTAAAAAGACAGAGGGAACTACATAGACCATGATCCTTTGCTCCATTTCAGTGCAGACTACACAAAGAAATAACAGTTCTAAGCACTTTTAAATCTTAGTTCTTTGAATTAAGTCTTGTCAAGGCATTTTGAGAGGAAAAAGTATCTTAAAATATTGCAATAAATATCGTACTGTGAGATGGATTTTGGGAAAATATTGTATTGTGAGACTTGGATATCGTTACATCCCTATTAAACATGAATGAAACAAAACACAACTCCAGGTCTGTTTGTGATGAGGAAACAGTATAATACACATCAGAAAATAATGTAATATGTGCCCTTTAAAGAGTATCTGTCAGGACGTAATCTGATTTATAATTCATAGTTAATGCAATTTGAAGGACGTATGAGTTAATGTTGCACAAAAATCGGTGGTATTTTCAAAAGATAGACCCCAAAATGAGAAAATAAGATGCACTTTATATCTGAAAGAGCAGAGAAAGAAACACAAATGTTTAGATCATTTCATATTGTCAACATAAAACTTTTGTCTTTTGGAGATTTCAAGGGTCCATATTACACTATTTTCTGATTTGTGTTGTGTTATGTTGTTTCCTCATCACAAACAGACCTGGACTTGTGTTTTGTTTCTTTCATTTAACGCTGCATGTTTAGGCTGAGTTCTTCTTTCAAACAGAAAACACTCCACCTTGTTCCACCTTGTGATGTCATGTGTTAATACCTTGTTTGACTGTGTTTTGAACAGTTATTTTGCGCTTCATACACACACCCTACTCATGGAAAACACATGGAGAAATGCAGATGATGCAGCTTTTAAGTTAAAGGTGATTCATGTGTCTGTGGAAGAAGGAAACAGAGCTGCTGCACGTGAGCTCGACATCAACGAGTCGATGGTGAGATTTTGGCGACGGCAGCGTGACGAACAATGCAAAAAGACGACAAAAACTTTCAGAGGTGATAAAAGCAGACGGCCTGAACTTGAAAACGTTCTTGAAGATGAGGACACCTGCGGCTTATATTCAGGTGCGGCTTATGTATGTACAATTTAAAAATTTTGTTAAAATTTAGTTGATGCGTCTAAGGCTGCGTTCAGACTGCAGCCTGAAGTGACCCAAATCCAATTTTTTGGCTTCTATGTGACCTGTATCTGATCTTTTAATGACAGTCTGAAACACACAGATCCAATTTTTTCAAATGCGACCCAGGACACTTGGATATGTGCTCCTGAAACCGATACATATCTGATCTTTTGACATGTGACTTCGGTCACAAACGTCACTTTTCTGCACTGAAGTAGGCAAAAATTGTTAATGAACTCCGTGTCACTGAAGTGAAGCACATCACCACTCACCACTCTTGGCTCCGTCTCCACATCCACACGTTCCTTTCAACGGACGTTACTGCCGCTGTCCCACAAAACACCACGACCAAAAACCTCGTCCTTCTCCTTCTCAATCTCCTTAAAACAAGTAAGTTGTTCATGTTCTGGCTCCGGTACGAGAGGAACTTTAAAATCTCCAGGTGCTCAATGCTCGCGTCCATGTTTGGACAACTTCTGTAAACACAGAGACGCTCGCTGTGGTTGACGTCGTCGTGTCTCCAGTGCACATGCGGGACACTTTTGGGCCTTTTAATGTTCACACTGGAGTCACATACAGGTCGCATTTACTGTATTTTCCGGGCAATTAGCAATGCTCTTAAGCCTCTAACCACATCAAAAAACGACCACGCGCAACGCAATCCAGAGCGCCCTATACACGAATCCACTCGGGTGTCCCAGTACGACTTCAGTAAACTATAAAGCCGCATCACTCACAGCGCACGCAAACACACACGGAGCAGACAGCGACCGCACAGTGAAAAACACCCACAGACACACTCATCACTCCACACCGACGAGGAACGGAACGAAGGAACGAACCGAAAAAGCGAGTCCTATGTGCCAATCTGAGTCACAACTGACCAACTGAGTCATCGCGACCGATCCAGCGGTCCCAGCGGTCCCAGACAGCACCCTCCCTACTCGCCACAACTGAACAAAGCCCAGAGTCACCGTCAACGCGCCAAACAAAGTCCGACTGACAGTGCGTCTTATAATCCAGAGCGCCTAATCGTCCGTAAAATACAGCAATTGGAAATGTGAACGACTTCGCAAAAACATTGGATTTCGCAAAAAAATACGAATTGAGCGTTAAGCCCTGCAGTCTGAACGTAGCCTCATATTCAGGTGCGCTCAATAGTCCAGAAAATGCGGTAAATACAAAAATAATGCCCCACTGTCTTTTTAAACTCTATACACTTTCACTAGAATCATTTGGATAATGTCAGCCCTGGAATTCCCAATCTCCACTTAAGTAAAGTTAAAATGTAACGTGTTAACTTGAAAACTACTGCTTCATGACATCACAAGGTGGAACAGAGCATTTTAAGCTTTGGAGATATAGACAGACTAATAATAAAGAGTTACTCAAACATATGAATGAAACAAAACACAACTCCAGGTATGTTTTAGATCAGGGGTGTCAAACTCATTTTGGTCCGGGGGCCGTATCCAACCTACTTTGATCCCAAAGGGGCCGGATCAAAAAAACTCATGTCATATAAACCCCAAAAATAACAATAAGTTCAAATATTTGTGCAGAGAAACATAAATCTATTACTGAAATCTTTTTTAATTGATGAACTCTTTCTTTTTACAAAAATATATAATATTATGAACAACCTGAAACTTTAAGAAAAATGCAATTTCAACACAAAGTTTAACATGAACTTGTATGTAAATAGGAATAAGTTCATTTTTCTTGGACAATCCTGCACTCGGCTCCACTTTTCTCATGTTGGACATTTTTCTGATGAGGGTGTCACGGTCAACAGTCAAAACGATCGTCCTTTAAGAGCGTTTGGAAAGAGACAAGTCTTCATTTGTGCTGCTCTGGTGGGAGGGGCCACGTACAGAGACGCTGGAGACGCTGCTGTGATAAACACCACAGAAAAATTAACCAATATTTTAATAGAAAATATAATTAAAATATTTTAGTAGAAAATCAGCCGAGGGCCAGATTAAAGGTCTTGGAGGGCCGGATCTGGCCCCCGGGCCTTATGTTTGACACCTGTGTTTTAGATGAAGAAACAACATTCTAACATGACTTAAAGCTCACAAGAGTCGATTTCATATAATATAACATCTTTTACTCCCAGTGGGAAGAAGAACCGAAACTTTAATTCGAGTAAAAGTACTGCTACACTGTCAAATATATCACTAAAGTAGAAGTAAAAGTATCTGAAAGCAACTCCAAGCAGTACAATTGTGTTAAGTGACTGTAGTGTACTGGTCTCTGCGTGTACTCTGTGTTTGGAGCTGTGAGGTGAGGGGGAACTGGAATATTTACAGTTATGGAGCGATCGTTGGCCTTTTTCTGCCAAATGGTGTCACAGTGTTAATTTTAACCGGCGGCCATGTTGAGAGCCGAGAGGAGGCAGGCGCGGCAGATGGTCGGATTTGGGCATGTTTCCTGTTGGCATCGCGTTCAATGAGGCTGACCGCGTGTGGCA